ATCAGCTTTACATTTTCTAATTCACCTCAAACTTCCAGAATAGTTACATAAATTGGATACTCAGTCACTCTTTTTCACTTTTTAAATTTTATTATTATTATTATTATTATTATTATTATTTTACTGTGTGTAAATCAGAAGACAACACTGGTGAGTGTTCTCTCCTTCCACTATGGGACCAGGGATGGAACTCATGTCGTCAGGCTTGCGTTGCAAGTGCTGAACCCACGGAGCCGCCTCTGTCTGTTTTCCTCTTTAGTTCAGAAGTCTTTTTCTCCATGTGCTGTTCCAAGACTGCTTGCTCTCTGTGCCACTGCCAGACTGCAATGTGTCCAGCACTTCGGTGTCTGCTGTCTTACTTTGTTCATTTGTTGGAGTACACCTTAGAGTAATTCTCTCAGAAGACTGGTTTCAAAAAAGCCAGTGCCATTCAAATGCCTTGTTCTTTTATAGCTAGCAAGTACTTTTCTCTTAAACAGTGTAAAGTCTAGGTAGGCATTATTCTTTTATTATTTAATATGTGCACTGATTAATATTTTTTCTTCTCTCTCAGCTCTGTGTTTCTGTTTACACCATCTACTTGTTGGACATTAGATTTCCTGGCTTGCTCTCCCTTCACTCATGGATTCACTGTGGACTGAACCCAGGACAAGCACTCTCCAGCTGAGTCATGACTCCAACTTGCTCATCTACCACTGGGGTCTCTCAGGTCAGTCTATAAGACCTGAAGAATGCCCATGAAGAGCGACCCAAAGAACTATTTTATTTACAATCTCTTAATTATTGTCTCTTGGAGTTAAACACTTTCTTCTGATCTCCAAACTTGTTCCTAGGCTCTGTGATCTGTCTCTTCCATTTTGATTCATTTACCCAACCATTGTTTACTATGTGCAATATGTCAGGCAATGGTGTTAACACCGAGAAGCTCAAGTGGCTTTTAAGTCTGTCCTCATTTCCAACACTGAGCATGTGTGGCACACTTCCTGGGCTAAGAGGCTGCTCGGCAGCCCCACACCAGTGTCCCTAAAAGCACAATGCCATCAAGGTCACATTATCCTGAACAAAAGAGAGTAAGGCAGTAAGATCAGAAGTTCAAGACTAGTCTTAGCTAAATAGTGAGGCCAGTCCAGGTTATCCGTTTAACTAATGCTGCCTCGGCCCACCCGTCTACCACAGCCGTCTCTACAAGTTCTGATCACGATAGGAATGCCTGACATGCTCCCCTACTTCCTCTGATGTCCTCAAAGAAAGGCAGAAAATTATTATTTTTTTTCTAGTAGACTGACAAAATCGCTCAGTGGTTAAGAGTGCTTGTTGCTCTTGAGGAGAATCCGAGTTTGTTTGCCATCATTTACATCAGGAGGCTCACAACTGCACGTATCTCCAGCTCCACGGAATCCGATGCCCACGTCTAGCCTTCATGGCACTTGCACACATGTGGCATTTACTCACACTGACACAAAGACAAAGACACAAGTGCACACACACACTTATACATAAAAAAAGAGAAATCTTAAAAGGAAAAAAAACCCTCTTTTTTTCTAGCAGAGAGTATGGATTAAAAATAGTTTCATAGTCATTTCATATGCCAAAAAACCAAGCAGGACAAATTCTCGAATTACAAGAAACAAATAAAACTAGGAACATTTAAAAACACTTCCAAAAGCCTCGTCAACCTCAGTTGCTCAGTCTGGAGCTGTCAATAAGCACCCACCAGCCTTCAGAGGTAGGGACATCCACTCCTTCTTATACTCAGAGATATCAAGCTTCCGGAAGGGTTAGCTGCCTCTCGGTTCTCCACTCTGCAGTCTGCTAATCCAGGATGTAATGTTTCCTGAGCCAACAGCCCTTGCTGATGGCATTGCATAAGAAACCCGCTGTAGCTCTTTTCATGGGCTGCAGAGATGACTCAGTCCGTAAACAGCTTGCCTCTCGGGCATGAAGACCTGAGTTGACTCTCTGGCATCCACAAGTAGGGTGTGTGCATATCATCCCCACGCTGGAGAGGTGGAGACAGGCTGGGGCTTGCTGAAGGTGGAATCTGACTAAGGAACAACCTTTGGCCTGCAGACATGCTTGCACAAACCATACACGCACATGTCTTTTTTCCATATCACCAGGCACAATTACCTGGCCTTGTCTACTTTTCTGCCAATGGCCTATCTGATAAGGAAAATAATTGTCTAGTGATGAGTCAGCTGCCATACAATTATGTTGCACATTGTTTTAATTCAAATACATATCATGTGACTGGAAGGCACTTGAGAGGGGACCTCGCTAAGCTGCGTGTCTACTACATCTGCAGTCACGCAAGCTCCAGATTTAGTGTGAACACCTCAACTGTGAACTCCTCCAGACGGTCCACTGATGTGTTCAGAGCACAGAGGAGAAAATGAAAGTAGCAAGTAGCACGATTTGTATGAGAGAAACCTCGAAATACAGTGTCACTTTTAAAACACAGAAAATGGGGGGAAAAAAGGACCTCTTTCACTAACAGGCTCTTAACAGCAAGTAAGCCATGGTGACACAGTGCACAATCCTGTAATCCCTGCACTGTGGAGGCTCAAGCAGAAGGATCCCAGAACAGCCAGGGATACACTGAGAGACCTTGTCTGAAACAAAACCCAATCAAACAAAAGCAGCTCCCTGTCAGAGTGGGCAGAAACAGTCTCTATTCTCCCACAGCGTTCATCTGAAATCACTTAAAAGTATATTTGCCACTTTATAAAAACATTTAAATACAATTTTAAAAAATTCAATTTTTCTCATTTTATTTATATGGTGGGCATTTTGTCTGTGTGTATGTCTGTATACCAAGTGCATGCAATGTCAAAGGAGGCCAGAAAAGGGCATCAGATGCCCCAGGAACTAGAGTTACAGAGGGCAGTGAACAACCATGTGGGTGCTGGGAATCAAATCCAGCTCCTTTGGAAGAGCAGCCAATGCTCTTAACTGCGGAGCCATCTCCCCAGGCCATTTATAATAAATATGGTTAAAAACTACACTGACAGAACAATTTTACTAGAATGAAGAGTTACCTTTGGGGACTCTGTTTTTGTGAGACTCTCTCTATAGAGCCAAGACTGACTTTGAACTACCGATCCTCCCCCTTCAGTGTCCTGAGATGTGGGACTATAGATATGGTCACCAAACTAAGCTTCTAAAAGCTAAGTTTTTGTTGGCTTGTTTTTTTGTTTTTTTTTTTTTTTTTTTTTTGAGACAGAGTCTCAAGTGGCTCAGGGTTGGCCTTAAACTCAGGCTGAAGTAAAAGGTGGCCTTGAACTCTGGATCCTCCTGGCCAGCCCCCATTACAGAGAGGCGCCATGCCTGGCAAGGTAATTTTAAATTTCAGTTAATGTTATACTTTTATATACTGTGTCTTTTGGGTGTGTGTGGAGGGGTGCTGGGACTCAACCCAGGGCTCTCTGCGTGCTATGCAAAGTCTACCACGAGCTACATCTTAGTCCAAGCGTGTGCCATGTGTCCTTGTGAAGAAGGTGGAGCTGTTGGATGCATTTAGTCAGCATGTAAGAATACCAGTAATACAACATACTAAGAGAAAGCCCCGTTTCCTTGTTCATGTTACTATGGAGGCTCTCCTCTCTCATGCCTCCTGTGACTAGCAGTTGTAACTAAAGAGGTGTGCTTGTAACAAGTGACAAGGGGTCAGTAGAACTGGAAGGATGGACAAACAAAAAGCAAAGCTCCTGTAGCAGGAGCATGAGTAAGTACGACCAGCAATTTCCACCCTGCGTGAGAACGCCAGGCAGCCGAGGAGAAGCAGGCCAAGGCTGCCCACATACTGTTTTGGTTGGCATTCAACAGACACTCAAGGACCCAAATAATATTTGGCCTTTTGCTAGAAACCACAGACAGTGTTTCATGACCCCATCATGTATACTGAGAGCTCTTTACCTTGTTAACTGCTTTGGCACTTTGAACCTAGACCACTGAGCTCTCGGAGCTAAGAACCACAAATCACTTCTCTCCAATGTCAGGATTCTTCCATTCAATCTTCTTATTCTAAGGCTAGGATTATCTGAGTGCTGGCTGGGGGTTTTATTCTTTTTTTTTTTTTTTTTTTTTTTTTTTTTTTTTTTTTGGTTTTTCGAGACAGGGTTTCTCTGTGGTTTTGGAGCCTGTCCCTGTCCTGGAACTAGCTCTTGTAGACCAGGCTGGTCTCGAACTCACAGAGATCCGCCTGCCTCTGCCTCCCAAGTGCTGGGATTAAAGGCGTGCGCCACCACCGCCCGGCGGTTTTATTCTTTTTACCTATAAATTATGTTATACTACCTCTTCGGAAGTACGGTGATCATAATCCTTCATTTAAGGGACACTCATTAATAAAAGTCACTGCCCGTGTGTGCCTCTCAAGTCTCTGCATGGCATCAATCTGAGAGACACATGGAGGGCTGAGATGGAGGCAGGGAAATTAACGGCACATTTTGCTGTTTTTGGTTTGTCCCCCCCCCCCCCCCCCATGTCTCTGGACAATACTCATAGGGCCACAGCTGATCCATAATCGTCTGCCTTAATTGGCGACTACTATGTAGCAACAGTTGCAGGGTGCTGGCAACCATTCAAGGCGCAGGAGAAAGCACTGAGCACTGTATTTTTCTCTGCATTTAAAGGAATAGGAAACAGTGTTTGGGCTGCCCAGTGACAGCCCTTGGATGTAAGAAAGGAAGTCATTTCCTATTCCTTGCAAACTTCAATTTACAAAAGAATGCTGGAAACTAAAAGCCTTGCTGATTTATCACACGAAGCTGAGAGTAATTTTTCTCCCCTTGTTACACTTTCATATAATCCTGCTCATGCCTGCATGGGTGACAGTAAAGAATTTCTGAATAAAAATAATAATTTCTCGCTTTCAACCTTCATAATTCACTTCAGCAAGCACCCTGCTGGGTGGTGATGCCTACTGCCAGAGACACTCTGCTCCGTCTTTTCTGCTGCCACTTATCTGCCTGTCCCAGCTGGTTCTCCATTGATCGCAGTACCTGCAGGATAATGCGCCCAAAGGCATTCTTCAGGAGATTAACAGCGTCCGTGTGAGACAGTCCATCCAGGGGTTGCCCGTTAATGCTCACAATCCGATCTCCTACCTAGAAGGACAAAAGGGGGGAGAAAATCACTATCATTCGGAAAAATTAAATTTGAGAAGAATGCCTAAAACTCTCTGTAAGTTGTATTTCCCATCTGCCTTGTTGAGGGCTGGCTCTTGTGGAGTGTGGGGAATTTTTATGGCTCCCCCCAAATGCAGCCCAATCAGAGAAACAAGAAGGGGGCCAGATTTGATTACTGAAAGGCACCGCAGGTCACTTTTGTATTTTTGGTAACAGTGGTGTTTTATACGTACATTTGCCAGTAAGAGTAGGGGTGCACGAATTAACAGTTCAGTGAAGCTCTGAGGGGGAAGCCAAGCATTTTCTGTTTAATTTTTATACCCAGTTAAGATTAAGGAACAACAGGGGAAAAATTCATAAAAATGTTGATACTTTCGGTGGGTGGAAGATTCCAAGATCAAATCTGAGTTAAAAACCAATTTCGGGTAAATGAGATGCTAAAAGTGTTTAAGAGGTTTGTAAGAAGCAGTGATTCCGTCTTTTACTGCAAAGCACTGATAAAAACATTTTTATATGTCCAGGGGCTTAATGAATCTCAGGTCTGCAGTCTTGTTAATGTATTCTGCCCTCAGCATGGGTTGCTGATGGCTTCTGCAATTCCAACTTTAAACAAGGTCCCTGTGGCTACCACCCCTCCTCCACCAACACCCCCATCACTGTTGGCCTTCTCCAGTCCCTCGGTGGTATTTACCTTAAGCTTCTGGGTACGTGCTGCCACTCCATTGGCCTGGATCATAGCAATAAATATCGGGATATCTCCTAAAGGACTTCCTTTTCCTCCAGCGATACTGATTCCAAGGGCATCGCTGAGCTCCTAGAGAGAGAGAACAGAAGGCCTGCATCTTTGGTAATAGGCATCCATAGCTGGTCCTCCAATTTTACTGGACAAAAACCCCACATGATATAGGAGGCCAGCACAACGTGAGTTGCGTACAGAGCATCATAAAGGCCTGTGTTACCTTGTGCAGTCAGGGTAGCTGGTGGGGTCTCAGAGAAGTCCATCTCTGGGAGCCTCCCGTTTATGCACAAGATGGTAAATAGACTATCGCGTACACAGTGATATCTCGAGTATAAATAAGATGATATAGTACTGTCCTGGCCTATAAAGGAGGCTCAATAAAAGCCAATAGCAACAGTAAATTAAAAAACAAAAGTCTTCACTCCTGCTCAGTGGAGCGTCCGATTTGACGCAGCCTTGGCAAGTGTGTTCTCATATGGTGTTTATGATTAAACTGCCGCGCATATCATGTTCTGGGTGTGAACAAACACACTTGGCTTCAAAAGAGCTGCATGACTCCATTAGACAAAGGATCTTAGAGGGTGCCCACTGTTGTGACAGCAGTTTTGAGAGGGAAGTAAAATAGTAGCGAAAATTGTTGCAAAGATGGACCTTTGTGTAGAGATCTGGCTCTTGCCTCCTCCCCCATCATAGGATGGTTAATAATCTTAAATGACTGAAGGCACAAATGACAAAGGCTGGCACTCTCGCCAAGTCTATCTATTGCTCCTGTTGACTACAATGGAAAAATCTTGTCAAAATGCAGATAGCAGCCGTAGCTTCTTTAACAGAAAGAAACTAAAACTGGAGTGGTAAGTGAGAATCTGGAGTCGTGACAGCAGCAGGGGTACACTGCCCCTAGTTTTACCGTGTGCGTGTGTGTGTGTGCATGCGTGTGTGTGTGTGTGTTGTGCTCATGCATTTGTGAGCCTGCACACACGTGCATGTGAGCACATGCAGGTGAGCATATGTATGTGCATGCATGTACACATGCACGTGTGTTCAGTTTTTGTTCTGAGGGAGACTCCCAGTCAAACTGGCAGCTAAAAAGGTGATTGAACTGCTGATATTCTGATGTCAACCCCATTCTTCGGGTCAGAAGAACCAAAACCAGGCATATCTGCTGCTGGATAATAAGAGAGGACATTCGGTATGGAAAGAGTTAGAAAGAGACACTGAATTCTGAGCACAAATGCACAGAATTCTCAGGCTCAGTTCTAATCTACTATGTGGAGAAGAGACCTCAAACGGCATACCAAAGTTTTTGATTATTAAACTTTGCTCAGAATCACTACAAAGGCAGACAGGAATCACACTCTCAGTCTAGCTGGTCGACTCCTGCTAAGGCATAAGCATCACTGTCTTCAGGGTTGATACGACTAACATCCACCAAGTCCAGGATAAAATCTCCAGCTTGCTAACACACAGGAAAATGTGACCATTTTTCAACATGTAGGACAGTTGAAAGTAACACTGTAACATTGTTTTATATGGACATGAGTAGCCTTCCTCAGGACCCTAGCTGGACCCTAACATGGGAAAACAAAACAACAGAGTCAGGGTACATAAGTTGCTAGTCTGTGGGGTAAAAAACCCACATGATCACACAGCTTCTGTAGTTGAAAATTATTTAAAAATATTCCTAGTCACTGGGTGGTGGTGTGCACGCCTTTAATTCCAAGATGCAGAGGCAGGCAGATCTCTGAGTTCGAAGTCAGCCTGGTCTACAGAGTGAGTTCCAGCACGACCAGAGATACACAAAGGAACCTTGTCTCAATAAACAAAAACAAACAAATAAATTTATAGCCAAAGATGGCCACGATCCCAGTTTTCTGGAGGCATAGGAAATGGATTTCTGTCAGTTCTAAGCCAGCCTGGTCTACATAGCAAGTTCCAGACTAGCCAGAGTTGCACAGTGAGATTCTATCTCAAAAAATAAAACAGAAGCAAAAGAAACAATACCCTTCGTAGCTTAGTGATCATCAATTATGCCTTAATAAAGCTGGAAAATAGAAAAGCACCCCCAAAAGGTCCACATGAGAGAACATAAGAACAGACTTGTAGGGCTGGAGAGATGGCTCAGAGGTTAAGAGCACTGACTGCTCTTCCGGAGGTCCTGAGTTCAATTCCCAGCAACCACATGGTGGCTCTCAACCATCTGTAATGAGATCTGGTGCCCTCTTCTGGCCTGCAGGCATATGTGGAGGCTGAACATTGTGTACATAATAAATAAATAAATCTTTAAAAAAAAAAAGAACAGACTTGTAGGGCCAGAGAGAGCTCATGACAGAACATGTCATAGTCTGCATGAAGCTCCAGCTTTAGTCTCTAGAGCCCAAACCAAATAAAATGCCATCAACAAGGCAAAACGCTCCATCTTAGGGCCATGGAGACAGCTGAGAAGATAAAACCCAAGCCTGCCTGAAAGTTATGTTATCCAAGCACTCCTCCAGAGAGCTGGGAGACAGAGACAGGAGAACTGCCTGGAAGCTTATGGGCCAGTGAGCCTGGAGTTTGAAGTACAGCTGCAGAAACTAGAGAGACCCTGTCCTGAGAAGGTGGAAGGTAAGAACTGATCCCCTTGAGTTGTCCTGGGACTTCTACATGTGGGATGTGGTATGCATGTCATATACACACCCCACATCCTAGATAATATAAAGGTGAATTATTCTATGATCATTATGCTGCCATGCCATAACTATAATTTAGAATAATTGCATTGCTTCACTTCTAGGGAGCTTCTACTCTGTCTTCACAGAATTCGTGTCCAATTGATACCTTCTAAAAGCATCAATCAATAGACAATGCCTTCTGTGCAAAGTTCCAAGAGATATTAACTTATTTTTATTTTATATGTATGGGTGTTTTACCTGTACATACATCTGTGTACCACATGTGTGCAGGGCCCAAACAAGCCAAAAGAGGGTGCTGGATCCTATCCTTAGTTATTTTTGCATTGCAATGAAGAGATACCATGAGCAAGGTAATAGAAAAGAAAGCATTTAGTTGAGGGCTTGCTTACAGTTCCAGAGGGTCAGTTCATGACTATCATGGTGGGGAGCATGGCAGCAAATAGGCAGGCAGGACCCTAGGGCAGTAGCTGAGAGCCTACATCTCATCCACAGGCACAAAGCAGATAAAAGCAGGACTGGGCCTGGCATAGGTTTTTTTTTTTTTTTTTTTTTTTTGAGACAGGGTTTCTCCGTAGCTTTTGGTTCCTGTCCTGGAACTAGCTCTTGTAGACCAGGCTGTCCTCGAACTCCCAGAGATCCGCCTGCCTCTGCCTCCCGAGTGCTGGGATTAAAGGCGTGCGCCACCACCGCCCGGCTTGGCATAGGGTTTTGAAACCTCAAAGCCCACCCCAGTGACAATACCTTTTTCAACAGGGCCACACCTAATTCGTCCTGAACAGCCTACCAAATGGGAACTAATTCAAATATATGAAACTATGGGAGTCACTTTTACAAGCCCATGCTATACATGGCAAAACTGAGGTTGACTCAAATGGAAGATCAGTGAGTTGATGTTATAGACGACTGTATCCAACCAAAGTTTAATACTGAAGCCCCAAGTTCTAGTTCCTCAGAACATGACTCCACTTTGACAAAGTCTTTAGGATGAGACTGCTAGGGTGAGCTTTAAATCAGTCCAACCAGGAGTATCATGGAAGAGGCTATATAACATGAGAGATTCCAGAATGATGAAACACATAAGGACAGGTCACACAAGGCCACCACAGGAAGGCATCCATATGCAAGCCAGGAGAGCTCAGAGAAAGCTAACCCTACACCCTAAAGTCTCTAAAACTATGAGAAACTAGCATCTACTGTTGAAGACACCCAACCTATAATGTTTTGTTAGGCAGATCTACCAAATAAACACAGTCAAAAAGCAAGTGGGAGAGCATAAGCTATGCCTGAGTCTAGAGAGCCGAGCTGTGCAGGGAATCACCTTACTGCATTGGTTATACCGACTACAACAGGGCCACAGTTCTATTACTATGCTTGAACCTCACGTTTATAGTCTATTTTCTAATATTCTAAATTTCACATGTGAGCTGAAAATCAGCATCTAAAAATGTATGAACTGGAATAAACCTCAAACAATCCTCTCAAAAGAGCAATTCAACAAACACATAACAGCCTTTAATAAGAAGCAACCTTCCCATGCTAGACGTGGAACACATAGCCTCACATAAGATAGCCAAGCACTCTGCAACCAAGCTGCACCCTGGCTCCAAGTGTGGCTTTAGATCTGATAGCTTTCTTTCTAGGAATTAATCCTGAGTTGAGGCAAAAATGTAAATATAGCAATGTTTGTTATATAAGGTAAATATTAAACATGGGGGCTAGAGAAATGTTGAACAGTTAAAGCATTTGTTGCTTTTGCAGAGGATGTGGGTTCAACTCCCACCATCTATGTGGTGGTTCACAACCACCTGTCACTCCAATTCCAGGGGATCCATTGCCTGCTTCCGGCTTCTGTCGGTACCAGGCATGCACATAGTATACAGACTACACGCGGGCCAAACACTCATACACATGAACTAAAACTAAATCTAAAAGGAATAAAAAGAAACATGCTAGGGCTGGGGAGGTGGCTCAGCGGTTAAGAGCATTGCCTGCTCTTCCAAAGGTCCTGAGTTCAATTCCAGCAACCACATGGTGGCTCACAACCATCTGTAATGAGGTCAGGTGCCCTCTTCTAGTCTGTAGGCAGACACACAGACAGAATATTGTATACATAATAAATAAAATAGAGAAACATGCTAACTGTTTAACGGGAGGAAGCTGACAGTAGAGAGACTACTACGCCACCAGTAACAGTCATGTTCTGTGCTGTCAAGAGCACACGGCTCCAAGTGCACACAGCAAGGTAAAGAAGATGAGCTACAAGAGGATGTCCAATACACTCTCTGTTGTGTGAAATTTAAACACACACACTATTATGAAAAGGTTATACTAAAATATTCACAAAGATCACTTATGTGTTTCAATTTATTTTTTAAAAATCTATTTCTGTTACATATTTACTTTAGTAACTTGGAAGAACAAATAATCGGGTAAATTATATCCAGAAGAGAAATGTACAAAATAGAATATAAATAGTAACTGACTTACTCTGATTATCTCAACAGTTCTTGGTCCCATCTCTGCGCCTATGAAGGAAGCAAGAGCATTCATTAATGCTTTTGAACCAAAAGTAGGATGCTTAAGTAACACTCCCCTAAAGACAGTAGCATTCCTCAGAGTTTCAAGAAGGGAGACTAGAGCAAGCACAGCAAACCCCTCCTCAGTAGCAGAGCCACCTGAGTTTTCAGGGGCGGTGTCCCAGAGTGGACAGACATGGCCATAATCATTCCGTCTGACTAAAGCTGATGGGCTGCAGCAGCAATGGCCTGAGACATGGTGACTCAAAGGTGGGGACAACACATTTGTGTTTCTCTGTGCATTCCTTCTGTCCTACCCTAAGAGGGACTTAAAACACCCCGCCCCCTCTGTTTTCAGGACATGTGCACTCCCCCCCCCCCCCCCGTCCAGCCACCTGCACTTTCTCATGCACTCCGAGTCTTTGCTTTTCTGTTGCTTATGAGATCTGTGCTCCCCACTCCCAACCTTTCCTTCTGAAACAGGCCACACTAAGTAGCTTGGGTTGGCCTTGAACTTACATTTTTGGGGAGGATCAGAAGCTCTTTTTGTGCCAACCAAGTTTTGTAGGCCAGTGATGACTGGGGCCAAGGAAGGCCGGCCGCTGCTATGTGCACTGTGCTGATCCCCCTAAAACAGAGACACTGGTCACTTGTGTGCGGGCACTAGCACGGCACCAGATCTACAGAGACTGAGGTCGCCAGTCATCTGCAGGTGTTCTGAAGAAAACTAGTGCTCACCCCTCCCTTACCCCAGCCCCATGCAGACATTCGCTCCTTGTGTTCCCCCATCACAGGAAAAGCAGATAATTGGAGATACTTTTGTTGCACATGAAATCAGACATTGTCCTTGCTTGCCACAGTGTTACAGCCTTCAGTGACTGGCCCTGTCCTTTGGGGAAGCAACCAATCTGACTTTCCTAATTACCCCAACTATAACCCATGCCCCATTAGTCGAGTGTGAGACGCTTAATAAACAGGAAGTGGACTGAGAACAGACCGACTTCTGAAGAAGGCAGCAACAAATGAGGGGAGAGAGCCAATTTAAGGATATCTCACTTTTATATCCCAAATCGTTTTATAATCAGGAATGGTTCAATCCAACCCGCTAGACCTGCTATTTAACCTTTTCCCCCACTGAAAGAGATATTTGAGATTTATAGACAGCTAGTGACTATCCAAAAATCACACACGTTAGAAATGCCCTTTCCAATGTAGATAATGTCATCTCCCACTTTTCTACCCAGTTATCGAGTCTATGTCGTCTAACTGCACTGAAAATTTAAGCTAAGACTAACATCACTATGACCATTTGTTAAGTTATAATGTGCTTTGTTTATGAGGCAGGGTCTTGCTATGTAATGCAGGCTGGCTTGAACTTAGGCCTTTCTGAATGCTGAGATTACAAGTGTGTGCCATCAAGCTTGGTTTCAACTCCTTTATTTTGTTTGGTGCTAAGGATTAAACTTGGCTTCATGCATGGCAGGATTGTGCTACACCCACCACACCTGAGTGATCATGTGTTTCACTATAGAAGAAGTTTTGAAACATTCAAATCTTTCCTAAATAAGAAAGATTTAAAATAAGAACAACTATTATAAGAATTATAGATATACCTAGATTCCATAAATGAAAATCTGCTACGTTTTTATAAGACACACATACATGTGTAATTTCATCACTAGAGAGGTAGAGCCAGAAGATCCCTACCCTGGGCACATACTTGGGAGTCTTCCTAAAAAAAACCAAAAATAAAATGAAAAATGAAATTTTTTATAATTTTTTTATAATTTATTTTTATTTTACACATGTGTTTTGCTTGCATGATGCATGTATACTATATGCACCAGCCTGAGGCAGCCAGAAGAGGGCACTGAATCCCCTAGAACTGGAGTCACAGATGATTTTGAGCCACAATGTGGGTGCAGGGAATTAAACCCAGGCCGTCTGCAAGAGTAACAAGTGCTCTAAAGACCCGGGCCATCTCCAACCACTCCACTTTCTTTACCACATATCTTCTATTCATCAATTAATTAATCTTTTACAGTTAATTTTCATATAGGTTATAGAGATCTGTAGACTTTAGGATGGGCACACCTTTCTTTGGTGTGATACAGAGGTCCCATATATCCTAAGCTGATCTAATTTATTTGTGATCTAGTTGATCATGACCTCTTGGGACCCTGTCTCTACCTCACTGAGTGTTAGGATGTCAGGTGTGTGCTACCATGCTGTTTATATGGTGCTTGGGATAGAAATTTATGAACCAGCAGTTATACTTAACCACTATCAAACACCAAACTATACAAACTTACAATTAAGTAAGATGTATTAAAACCAGATACAGAGCTGGGGATGAGGCTCAGTCTGTAGAGCACTTGCCTAGGATGTGAAGTTTATGAATCATGATGATATTTATATACATTCCTCCAGAAGGGTCAGAAGTGCAGTCTGCCCAGCACCTCAACTGTAGTCCAGGGGGAAAAACAGTGCATGTCCAGTATTGCTCACTTTGTACTCTAGTCTCTTGTGTACAATGAGGCTGAACAGAACCACTCACACGGATGAGTCTTCCCTCAAAGAAGAAGCATGCCTGAGACTGCTGTCTTGTATGCAACTCCCATTGTCAACTTAATTATCCACCAAATCCCTGACTATTCACATGTGGAATAAGCAGCATTATGTGTGTTTATGTTTGCTGCTAATTACAGAAGCTGGGCTGGGTAGGGGGATCCAAATTTAACAGTGTGGATTAGGTTAGATTGTTTTGAAGATTTTAAAAAAAATTTTATTTACATGCGTGCTATGTCTGTGCATGCAGAGTGTCAGATCCCCTAGAACTGGAGTTACAGACAGTTTGAGTCACCATGTAGGTACTGGGAATTGAATCGAGGCCCTTTGGAAGAGCAACAAGTAATCTTAACCTTTGAGCCATTCTGCTAGGTCCACTTTGAAGATCCTTGAAGTCAAAGCAGCTAGTCTGTGACCCTGTCTGATCAATGACAAATATTTAAAATTCTCTTATTACACTAATTTGTGTGTGTGTGTGTGTGTGTACAAGCACATGCCATAGTATGAGTGTGACAGCCAGAAGATAACTTTTGGGAGTCAGTTTTCTCCTTCTACAAAAAGAGTTCTAGGAATTAAACTCAGTTCACTGGCCCTCACTGCTATCCTTTCCGCCCATTTTCTAACATGAATGAGGCAAAGCAGCGGCTGACAGCTTGCAGACCCAGACACACTAAGCTGTGGGGAGGCTGTCGTTACAAGGCAACCAGTAGAGTCACACTTTAACCTTAAAAAGGGGGGCTGTCCATCACCCCCAAAGAGACTAGGGAGTTACAGGCAAGTTTCTACAGTTGAATCATGTGCCAAGTGGGACTAACAGAGGGAGTCTGAGTGTGTCAGCCATTATAACACACACAAAAAAATTATCGTGAAAATACTTCATTAAAAAGGTGGTACTGACATCAGTCTTGCAAATAAATATATTTGCTAACTCACAAAATGTCACTCACTAATACCTCCCTGCCATAAGAGAGACCCCCATTTTTTTTTGCTCTCCTAGGAATATACCATTAATTGCCTTCAGCATGTGTGAGTGGCTATTCACAAGTTAACTTTATAGCAATGTTTAATTGGATGAACAGAACAATGTTGTGCTAATGAGGGTCAAATTGCCACCAGATGTTACCTCTTTTTTTTCCTTTTTAAAATAAACACAGCTGTGTATGTGTGTGCACGGGCAATATAGAATAGTGGGAGACAGAAATGGTTCTAAGAAAACCCTATAAGCAATAAAGGAAAAAAGTGTGGGGCTTAATGAATTTCCACCCCACCTTTCATTTTCATTTCAAACACATGAAAACACTGAAGTAGGTGCTGTGAATATGTGTATATCAGACATCATTTCTAAATAATCATTTATGAGATGAGGAACTTCCTCCCAGTGGGTGCAGGAGAGAGAGTGGTCAGCTAGGAAGACATCACCAACCTGGCTATTTTGTGAGGTCTTCCGAGAGGAAGCCCAGGAACCGGCCCGGAGTCTCCCAATCTCCAGCTGCACAAGGCCCTGGACGCACTTGGGAAGACAAGAAAAGACAGAAGTAAAACACAACAGCATTGCTGATCTAAAACACCAGAGCGGGGCCTTCTGCAGCCAAGGCTTACTAGAGGGAACTAGGTCAAAAAGGAGAACCAGCCATCCAAAACCCAAGCAGACAGAAAGTCAGCAGCTTCATCCGTGGGCCCTTCAGATGCATTAAATGGGTTTGATACCAACCGCCTTTCTTTTCTCTCATTTCCTTTCTGAAGAAAGTGTTCAAAAAGTGGGAAAGAGGCCGGGTGGTGGTGGCGCACGCCTTTAATCCCAGCACTCGGGAGGCAGAGGCAGGCGGATCTCTGTGAGTTCGAGACCAGCCTGGTCTACAAGAGCTAGTTCCAGGACAGGCTCCAAAAAAACTACAGAGAAACCCTGTCTCGAAAAAACAAAACAAAACAAAACAAAACAAAAAGTGGGAAAGAGCAGAGTGGGAAACCCAACAGGAGACAGTTCACAAATCCAGGCCCTCCTCTGCAGAGTAACTGAGAGCTGACTGCACCAGGAAGCCTGGTTATTATAACAAACCTCATCTGTCTGTACAAGCTTCCACAGTTGCTATAAAGATCCACTGGTTGCAAACAAAGGGGAAGGGGGTTCGTGAAGCAGAGTCCCTTAGCTGCAAAGTCTGAGCTGCAGACTTCCACAAGCTCACCACAACCCAGGGTGGGTTGACTCTGTCTTCATTTGGGAAACGAGAAGCCAGTCTAGATGAGTATTAGCATTCCCTTCTAGTGATCAAAGTTGGGGTTGATGAATGCAGAGAGAAGGGGGTGGACCCCATGCCCTAGGATGGGCTGGAAGACAAATGTGACAGTTGGACCGGTCACTACATGAGAAACGGCCTCAAAGCCCCAGGCAGGCCCCTCTGTCTGCCGAGTCAGCACAACAGCTGTACTGTAAAGCTATTTTCAGCCACCAGGTATTATATTTCTAGTAAGAATAGAGCAAAAACATCCCACCAAGGCCAAAAAGACCGGGCTAGCTCCGTGAGCCTTGGTCACTGTAGCTAGGTCGGAAGCTGCCTAGGGACTCACCTTGAGGATGGTGGCCACTGTCTCCTGTGAGGCGTGTCTCAGGTCCTCTCCATTCACAGACAAGATCTGGTCTCCTTGAATCAACCTGCCATCAAGGTCTGCGGCTCCGCCTTTTACAATATCAGATATAAACACTCCGCTTCCACTCCTGTTAATATCACCAAGCATTGTGGGATTGGCACAGGCAGTTAATTATTAATTAAAATTGGACCTTACTTTGTAAAGACTTATGTTAAGATCTAAAACTCAAAAGTTCTAAAACCAATCCATTAAGTCCACTGACATCCACTAACTTTATAATAATAAGCTTCACGATTAGATTATGCCTCTTTGTCCTTTGTATTACACATCCATCTTTGCCTACTGTGTTCTTACTTTTATTGGTGGTGCAAACTGGGATCCTAGCACTTGGGAGGTGATGATTTTACTACAGAAAAATAGAAATTTACTTTTTATTTTATTTTTTGTTTTTTCAAGACAGGGTTATTCAGTGTAGCCTTGACTGCCCTGGAACTCCTCTGTAGACCAGGCTGGCCTTGAACTCACGGAGATCCACCTGCCTCTGCCTCCTGAGGGCTGGAATTAAAGGCGTGCACCACCACTGCTGATGGATATTTATTTGCTTTGTAAAGATGCAGAGTTTATGGCCTGGAGTACAGCTCTGTGGCTGACTGATTTCTGGTGGAAGCATGACCCTGGGGTGATCCCAGCACCCCATACAGAAATGAGATGAGCAAGCTATTCTCTTAGAGTAGAGTCCATTGCTAGTAACTTCCTTTTCTTAAAATATATTTTTAAATTATCATGTTTTTATGTAGGTAGATATGTGCATGCCAGCACATGCATGGCGGTCAGAGGACAGAATGTGGGGTTGTTACTCTCCAGAGAATCTAATCCAGAACTTCACGCTTGCTAGGCAAGCAGTCTACCAACTGAGTTAAATCCCCAGCCTCTTATTTTCAGTCTTTAAGGAATTATGGAATTACTTGTCAAGAGGATCTGTAACCCTTAAGAGATGCATTTGATCCTTTACAATGAAAAGCTTCATACTAAAGAATATAAATGTTCTTCTCAAACTAAATCTGCAATACAGATGGCGGACGAGGATCACTTTGTCCATCTCTGACTCGACAGTAAGGGCAAACTCAGTGTGTGGTGGTGCATTCCAGCTGAGTCTGAGACTAGCCTCAGCTACACAATGGGACCCTATCTCAAGAAACACCATAAAACAGAGCTACCATCTCTGACTGGGATGTCCTCAGGGACACAGAAAGCAGCTCATCTTGTCTCCACAGTTGCTCTGCACCCTCATGTGCAAGACAAACCCACAGATACTGCCCTAGGCAGCTACTCTAATCCTTCCTGCAGAGCCGAATGCAGACTCAGCAGCCCAGCTGGAACCAGCTGTATCTCAACATGACATGTCTTAGAAACCCCCTCATTACTCTACAGTAAGCTTTCATTTCCAGTGTTTAGAAGTATTAGTCCCCATATGCTGGAAAGAAAGGCTGACCTTGACTTGAACAACTCTTCCTTACCGTTTCCCAACAATGCTCAGGCCCAGTCCTCGGCCAGTCTTCTTCTGCAGATCCACAAGGAACACCTCCAAGTTCTCCTCATCTCTGTACTGCGCCTCATCTCTGTACACCACCAGGCGCACCTTCTGGGGAGTCTGCCTCAGGGCTGTGATGGCTTCTTCATGGCTGCAGCTCCTCAGGTCAACCCCATTAACCTGTAACAACAGCCATTCTGAGATGAGCAGCTTACCGCAGAGACTTCAGCCTGCTGCTGCTCCTTGATCCAACTGATAAGGACTCTCTAGAAAGTTCCAGTCATTCTCAAAGCACACCACAGTGACCATGGAGAGTATGAGCTGCTTCACACAAAAAGACCCCACCACACAAAGAACAGAGGGTGGGTTGGTGTGCCTGGTCACATATTTACACAGCTGTGAACTTCACTGCGGAGTTAGGAGAGCTGGTGTGTGTGTGTGTGTGTGTGTGTGTGTGTGGTTAGTTGTTGAGGTTGGAGGGAAGGAGCTAGTACAGCTATTATCCCAGTTAGTAAGTATCTTTGGGCTGTTTGCTCGTTGGACTTGACTCTTCTTTGTTTGTTTGTCTTTCTGTGACAGTCTCACTATGTAGCCCTGGCTGTCCTGGAAATGCTATGTAGAACGGGGTAGTCTCATATTCACAGATATCTGCCACCTCTGTCTCTCGAACACTGGTATTAAAAGTCTGCACCATTACAAATCTGGCTGGCTCCTTACCCTTCGTTGCTCAGATCACATCATCTTCAGTACTGGCCCAGAAGGAAATAAAGGACAAGTGTTTCCAACAGCTTCAAAGAAGCCCTTGAAGGCTCATATTTGAATCTGATAGCAAGGACACAGAGAGGCCCACTACCAGAGAACACAAGATACTGCGAACAGTCAGTAAAGACACACAAATCTGGGACCCCATCCCTAAACCCCACTCTCTTGCTCTGTTATATGGAGATCACAGACAATTTACTTTTTAGGTAAATATTTCCATCGTGCTTGTAATGCCAATACTTATGGATTCCGTCCCCCCAAAGTTTTCATTTTTACTAATGAATATTAGCTATATAAACACCGGGTATCATTGTGGTATCTCCACAATACACATAATGTACTCTGATCATACTTATTACTTCCCTTATTACCTCCTCTCATCCCCACACCCTCTTCCTGATCTTCATTTTCCAAGCAGTCCCTCTTTCACTTTCATGACTTCACCCACATAGACATGAGACGGAACACGTGATACTTGACCAAGTCTGACTTATTTTGCCTAACACGATGGTACCCAGTTCCATCAATTTTCCTGCAAATGACATGATTCTATTTTTCTTTATGGCAGAATAATACCACATGGTGTGTATATGTGTGCAAACTGTGTTTTCTTTATATAGGGATGGACATCTAGGTTGATTCTATGACTTGGCTTTTGAGAATAAATAGTACCACAAAGCTGGACAGGGGGTTGCACACTTGTAATCTCAACACTCAGGAACTCCCACATATCTGAAGCTAACCTGAGTTACACAGCAAAGCGCTGTCTCAAAACAAACAAACCAAATGGAACAGTACTACTGTAAACACGCATATGCAGGCATCTCTACTGCGTGCTGATGAAGACTGAGCTATGTGCTCAGGAGTCTCTCTGGATCACATTGTTCTTTTTTCAGGTTTCTGTGTGAGCGGTGCCACTGCAAACATGTGGGGTCAGAGGGCAGCTGTAGGGGCTTCTCTTCTTCCACCACATGGCTCAGGGACGGAACTCAGCACTCAGGTTACTAGGCCCTCTTACTTGCTGAGCCATTTCACTCTGTGCTGTCTCTTTGTACTGGCTAACTACTTCCTTTGCCATGTAGAAGCTTTTTAATTTCTGTGATCTCATTTGTCAGTTCTTTCTTGACTAGAGTCTTATTCAGAACTCACTGCCTATGTCTACTCCTGAACTGTTTCTCCTCTTTTTCCAAGTAGTTTAAAGTCTTGAATTATGGTTGTCTCGGTTATGTTTCTACTGATGTGATAGATAAGACACCATGACCAAGGCAACTTATAAAAGCAAGCATTTCCTGGGGCTCACAGATCCAGAGGGTTATAATCTATGATTGTCATGGTAGGGAGCATGGCTATAGTCTAAATTCAATATATACTGTTATCATGACCATTTACAGATGAAGAAACCAAGGCGTGGAGAGGCCAAAAAATTTGACCAAAATCACACATCTAGTAGGTGGAGAAGTCAACATTTGAACCCAAATTTGTTTTCCTTTCGATAAAAACGTGTGTGTGTGTGCGCCTGCGTGCGTGTATGTGGAAGACAGAAGGTGACACTAAGTATCTTTTACTATTCTTTCTCTACCTTATATATTGAGGCAGGGTTTCTCACTTGAACCTAGAGCTTGAGAGAGGACTTCATACTGTAGCCCAGGCTAACCTCAAACTCACTATATAGTTGAGGCTGGACTTGAATTCCTGATATTCCTGCATCTACTTCTCAGCTGTTGGTTTATGGAGGTCAGCCACCACACCAATCAGTAACATTTTTAAAAGTGCTGAGCACATGGCTTGATGGTAGGGTGCTTGAATTTAATTCTCAATTCCATTTTTTTTTTAAAAACTACTGACTCATCTCTCCAGTTCCTAACTACACAATCTTTCCATTCTAGTCCTTTCACCACGCAGCCTCATAGGTTAGCCCCTGACTAGGTTATTAGATGGATCATCACAAATAGTTAAATAGTTGGTACTGATCAGTAAACTTCTACAAACAAGGGACAGGGTAGCTTTGGATTCAAAGTCACTCCTTCCGGGTGACATCTTGGAAAAGAGCCGAACAAAAGGAAAAATAGCCCCAACTCTGGACAGACTGGTGGCAAGAGCGGAAGAGCTCCTGACATGTGACTTCCCCCCCTTATTCTGATACAGCCCTGTGTGACCCAAGAAGGTCAAGCCTGTCTCTGAACCTGGTCCCTTTATTTCTTCAGTAAAAGACAGTCTAAGGCTTTCCTAACTCTGATACCCAAAGACCAGGGACCGTAGGCATCCAAGGAGGAAGGGAGAACCAACTTTTCTTGAAGAAGGTAACTTTGGGGCTGTGTTTAAAATTTTTAATTATTTTATTTTTAATGTTTATGGATGTTTTGATTGCATGTATATCTGTGCACCATATGTATGCCTAGTGGTCAAAGAAGCCAGGAAAGGGTGTTAGATCCTGTGGAACTAGAGTAGCAGATGAGTCGCCATGTAAACGCTGAATCCTCTGGAAGAGCAGCCAATGCTATTAATTGCTTAGCCATCTCTTGATGGAGTAAGGTCATTGGCTAATAAAGAAACTGCCTTGGCCCATTTTATTGGTTAGAACATAGGTGGGTGGAGTAAACAGAACAGAATGCTGGGAGGAAGAGGAAGTGAGCTCAGAGGCGCCATGCTCTTCTCTCTCTGGGGCAGACGCCTCAGACAGACGCCAGGCTCCTCTCTCCCAGGCAGCTCCAACCCAGGATGGACATAGGCTGAATCTTTCCCGGTAAGACTGATGCTACACAGATTATTAGAGATGGGTTGATCGGGATATGAGAATTAGCCTGTAAGGGCTAGAGTTAATGGGCCAAAAAGTGTTTAAAAGAATACAGTGTCTGTGTAATTATTTCGGGCCATAAGCTAGCAGGCGGCCAGGGTGCTGGGGACACAGCCCACCGCTCATATTACTACAATCTCTCTAGCTCTGCCTTTAAAAAATTAATTAATTTTGTTGTACTCAGGGCTTTGTACATGCTAGGTATGAGCTTTCCCCACCCTACTGGGCTGTTGTCTAAATCAGATTCTGTGAGCCAAGAACATGCCTAAAAGGCCAATCACCCATTACCAAGATGCTGTTTCCTTTCTGGTGCATCTCAGCACTCACAGACATCCAGAGTCACGGTGGTTAAGGACATGGGTTCAGACAGAGGCTGAATTCAGTTACTACGCCAGTTTGACTTCCTGGCTTTGTGAAACCCAGAGATATGACTTCAGTTGGGTTTCTGTGTCATTCATGAGCTGGAGCCAGGAAGAATACCTACTTCGCGTTGAGAATTGACTGAAATAAACTCTGTCAGGTTTATGGTTTGTGACTGGGCACATAGGTATTCACTGTAAGAAAGAAATGACGGGCTGAAAGGAAATGCTGCCAGAGCTGTTTTCCTCTGCGCAGGACGCCTCACCATTCCTTCAGGCCACTAAGTATGCTTTTGCATTGTTAGTGAATCAACCGACAGAACAAAGGGGAAGCTGTGCTTCTAGGGAGTGTGAGATATGCTGATTATTTTCCTGTGGTCCAACAGATGGCACACAAGAACACTTCTACTACTTGAAACACTAGGTGACCTCGTGGACTGAAGGTGAACTTTGTAAGCCCTCTCAAAGGCCTTAGTAAATAAACAAATAATTGAAGGCACTGCCATTGAACTCTAACACTACAAAAGCAATTTTTACCAAATTCTGGCACTAGGGGGCCTGCTCAGATCAGAGTGACCTCAGCCGGGCTTCCACAGGCTGTGCTGGTCAGGAAGCGGCATGAAGGAACAAACGGTACAGTCTGAGCATTGCTTTAGGCGTCTTAGACAAGCACTGTCGGCAGTGTTCACAACACTGCTTGCCGATGTGGGGGTAGTGGGAGTGGCCCCCTGTTTGAGAAGAGCTCTTGAAGGTCCTGCTGTCACATCCTTTTAGTAGGCTGGGCATATGAAAAGTGGACGAGCCACTGCCAGAGGAGGGCTTTGGAGAATTAACTCTCTTTCTGATCCTACTTTCACAGGATATAACGGCAGTAAGGTAGGGTAAGAGAAGGGACTGGCCTAAAAACCACCAGGAAGAAGAGTTTATGCTCATCAATGTCTGAAATTGTTTGGTTGAGTTTTTGGAACGAAATCTGGCTTTATCCTAATTTTAACATTAGGATACTGTGATGTTCAACATTGTCAATTTGACAAGATGTACACCCACTGAAGAGATGAACCTTCCAGCATGTCTGTGGATTATGTAGATCGGCTAGTGTCTCAGCCTAATCAAGGAGGAGAATGTGAGTTGGGCCTGTTCTTGCTGTTCTCTGCTCCGGTGTCTGGGTGCATTGTGATCAGCTATCACCTGCTTCTGCCACCACACTCTCAGTCAGAGCTGTATCCCCTGCGGCTGTAAGCCAAACAAGCCCCTTTCCTTAAGTTACTTTGTTGAGCACTCTGTCGTGTCAATGAGATGAGCAATAAGGAACAGATATTATAAAAGCCATGGCAGAACAGCTTGCAGAATGTATGATAAAAAGGGATAGTGGTCTTAAAAAATGGAATTGAGAATTAAATTCAAGCACCCTACCATCAAGCCATGTGCTCAGCACTTTTAAAAATGTTTCTGATTGGTGTGGTGGCTGACCTCCATAAGCCAACAGCTGAGAAGTAGATGAAGGAATATTAGGGATTCAAGTCCAGCCTCAACTATATAGTGAGTTTGAGGTTAGCCTGGGCTACAGTATGAAGTCCTCTCTCAAAACAAAAACAAAAGTAGCTTAGTTTGGGCTAGCAAGATGCCTCAGTGGCAAGCCACTTGCTAGCAAGTCTGATTTGAGTTTGATCCTGGAACTCACATGGTGGAAGGAGAAAACAGGCTCCTGTAAACTGTCCTTGGATCTCCACACGTGTGCTGTGGCATGCGTGTGTGTGTGCGCGTTGCCCCCCACATTCATACACATATAGGCAATAGATGAATAAATGTTTAAAAAAAAGTCTTGTTTAAGTTTTCATTTTTAACGAGTTCTCACCAAGTTGCCTACCCTGGCCTTGAACTCACTCTAAATCTCTGGCAGCCTTTGAACTAGTGCAGCTTCCTGAGTGCTGAGATCATAGCCTGTACCATCAGGCCTAGCAGGAAAATTCAACTAAGATATAACTGATAGAAAATCAGGTATATACATTTGCATTTAAAAAACGATTTATTTTATATGTATCAGTATTTTGCCTATATGCATGGCTGTGTACCGCATGCATGTCTGGTGTCCACAGAGGCTAGAAGAGAGTGTTGCATCCCCTGGCACGGTTGTTACAGACAGTTGTGAGCTGCCATATGAGTGCCAGCAATTGACCCTGAGTCCTCTGGTCTTCCAGTGCTGTGAACTTCTGAGCAAACTGGGAAGTTTCTACTTTTAATATTAAACCCACTCACCTTGAAATGCCAATTATGACAACACCAATTGACTAGAAAATCTAGGAAGGATAAGAAAGAAACCAGAAGTCCCCAAAACTTTGATCAGTAAAAAACAAGTGTTGCTTGCAAAAGCATCCAGTCTAATTCCTGAAGAAGGCCCGTTTGTTTTTCTAACCTCATTCATCAGTGCCTTGATAAGCGCACTGGGGATGCATCCTAATCCAGTGTGCCACACAGTCAAGGTCTGCAGAAAAACCTGGCAACTGGATCTGAACTTAATTTGCACTTAGCCTGGATTCCCTTTTCACCCTTGCATCTAAGGTGCTCCACTCTTGATTACAGCCCTGTTTCATCTTGAAAGCCAGAAATGAGCCACTAAAGGAGAAATAAAGTTCTGTGATGTCATTCATAATATGTTATAATAAAAATACAAAGCGAAAATTACATATGCCCACCATAAAGTCTCTTCCATTAAATCCATTCAGTGAAAGATGCTAAAGTCTCACACCACTGAAACTCTCTTTAGCTCCACCTACCAGAGTGCCTGGAATTGACCGTGTTGTGGGATAACCTTTTTGTATACTGTGAAGAAGTGTCTCTGCCTAAGGTGCCTTCTGATTGGTTTAACAAAGAACTGAATGGTCAATAGGTAGGCAGGAGAGACCAGGGAGAACTTCCAGGGAGAGAGTCGAATTTGGGGTTAGATCCAGGCACACAGGAGACACCAGCGAGACACCGAGGAAGTCATGGAGGAAGTTATGGAGAATAGGTAACAAGCCAGGAGGCAGAATGTAGATTAATAAAATGGGTTAACTTAAGTTGTAAGAGCTAGTTGGGGATAAGTCTAAGCTAAGGCCAAGTTTCCATAACTAATAATAAGACTCTGTGTCATTATTTGGGGGTGGCAGCCAAAAAGAAAGGCTGACAAGAAAGTCTGATTATAGACTGGCTTCTTGCTCATCTGTTTCTTAGCTTCACACTGACTACTGTTACACTATTTGTTATTTTTAACATATTAATGTCATCAGTGGAAACTATCTCATTTAATGATTTTTTTTGCTTATCCTACTTTAAAGATTTTCTTACTTTAATTATGTCTATGTGTGTCTGTCTATATGTAGGTATGTGCACATGAGTCTGGGTGCTCTTGGAGGCCAGAGGAGCTAGATTCTCCCTAGAATTGGAGTTACAGGTGGTTATAAGTTGCTTGACACGGGTGCTGAGAATTGAATTTGGGTTCCCTGGAAGAACAGTAAATGTCCTTAACTTCTGAGCTATTTCTTCTGCTCCCTAGCATCTTTTAGAAGGCTTTAACAATATTGCAAAATAACAGACTAATTAAAGAATTTGGTCAAGTAGCTCAGTGTTGGTAAGTACTAGATACCATTTAAAAGGAAAGATTTTACATTTTTATTGACTTAAAAATGTTAGTGGTGAGGCATGGCTTTCCTTTTTACAAATGGCGTACTAGAATTAAGAAGATTACTTATGGCAACAAAGTCTTTAAAATTGCAGGTGTGAGATGATTTATGTGTTTGTATGTATATGTTTTCAGCAGGGGATTTAGTAAGAAAGGGCAGAGAGATAGAAACCAAAAATATATATATTCCTGTCATATTAAAATGATAGAATTGTAAGTGGTAGTCTTCTTCGAAATTAAACTTTTTCTCAGATTTAGATCAACAATGCCATGGTTATGAAGCAGTGGTTGTTGGGCAACACTGAGAAAGAAGAGGCTATGGCACATGTTTTGTTCCGCAGGAAACAAATCACTGCGGGAACAGTAGAATCAAAGACAGACGCTTTGACCTTAGGGACCAAGGTTAATCATGTCCAGTGTCACAAAGAACAATTCAGAATGGGGTACCTCTAAAATCTGGTCTCCAGCCCACAGTCTTCCATCTCTGGCTGCTGCACCTTCTTCATAGACTTCATGGATAACTATAGCATCCTATTAAAGAAAAATTCCCACTAATGGTTAGCAACCAGACATAGCCTTAAGCAAGCATCCAGATGATGGGCAGCAACCCATAACTGGTCATTTGCTAATGTTTACTTGCTTGATATAAACATAAATAAGAAGCAAAGTTAACAGTTCAAAAGCACAATTATATTTTCCAAAGATAATTATTTCACTCCTTTAGGACGGGATTTGTCTCAGATTCCATGTTAAACTTTCCCCGTGTTCTTTCTGTTGACCTTAAACATTTGCTGCTGCGTTCAAACTTGAGGTGAACTCTGCATCATTTACTTTTTACTGGTAATTTTAAACAGTTTCAGATATTTACTAGAGCTCAAGGGTTCAGCGTAGAAGAAGTGTGGCCTGATCAAGGGTTCTGCCAGGCCTCATTACTTGGGAGATGAAAGAAAAGAGCTCGTGTTGAAGGACAAAGCGGGATGTGGGAGGAAGCACTCAGAAACCAAGGACAGGTTAGCCGTGGGTTTGGGACGCCTTTGAACTGAATCCTCTAGGCCAGAACTGTAGGACACTTTCTGCGACAGGTAACCTTTGCTTAAAAAATGCCTCCTCATTAATGAATTAAAGTAATCTGCATCTCTTCATATTCATAATCTCATTATTTGTTTTCTTCTATTTAAAGTTTGTTTTTCAATATCCTTTTAGTCATGTCCTCGTGGGTGTCTGCTGTCTGAGTCTGAGGAGAGGTCTAGGATGTGATATGTTCAAAGATGGCACTGCCCCTTCCAGCTGTGGGTCTGCAGAAGGCCATGAGCTCTTCTGGAACTGAGCAGTTTACTAGCTACACATGTGGCTGGCCGCCAAGTGTCATCATGGGCAATAGAATGATCAGCTTTCTTGTCACTCATTAGCGAACACCTATGTAGCAAAGGTGCCACACACGTCCATCTGTGCCACTCAGTCTTCCTAACAGCTGAGCAACCTAGCACTGTTAATCCTGCTTGCAGAAGAGCAAGTGAAGGTCTGTGGGTTTCAGTTCTGAACAGGTCTTTGCAGTTTCTGACAGGACAGACGTAAGTCTGGGCTCCCACCATGTGACTGATCTGTTTGAAAAGGCCAGGCTTCTCCATATGACCAGTTCTGCGGAAAAACTGCCACCTCAGTTCCATAGCAGTAGCCTCGAGGGCATGAGTGGATCATTTTGTGTGGAGTGGAAGGAAGGAAGCCTTGGGACTAGTAAGACATTGTCGTCTACAGATCTCAGTGGCAGAAGGTGGCACAGGATCTGGTCCCCACTGCCACAGTGTGAATCCCCAACCCCATAAACAAGCTTCTCCTTCAACTCCACTGGTTCCTTGTATCTTTTCTCCAGCCTTTACCTCTCCAGAGCTGTTTCTGAGTGAGTTTTTTTTTTCAGGGCAGGATAATATAACCAACAGCACACCATATACCACTGATAGGTTGATATTTAAATACATATAGAGAAATCATCTTTATGTGTTTAGAAAGTATGAAGGGCTTCAAATGTTGAAAGGTAACTCCCTTGTTCCTGACGTTCTCCTCAAATCAATCAAGGGTCATATCCTCCACTAATCCTTGGTGTGAGTCACCACTGCATCCCTGCACTTAGCAGAATATCACAGTCGTCTTTCCATGGACCCATTCCCCTATCCCTGATGCTAAAATTCAGAACTGCTCACAGTTCATCTCTGTGTTCTGGTGGCAACCCGAAGCAAATACCCATCAAGTGTTCTATTCAGTGTTTATCAAGAAAACATTGACGAGAGAAGAAAGAGATCAAGATGACTCTGAATGGTGAGGTGGGTAAGGCTAGTATGTCTTAATTCTGTTTCAGTCCTACCTTCTGATGGCAAAGTATTAACAATACAAAACCAAAACACTCAACCAAAAATGGATGTGAAAGTCATATGAATTCCCATATGAATTTTGTTAGTTCAGAGAACCATTTAAAGGAGCCAAGCAGGAGAGAGACTTAATTATCACTGAGCCCCACAAAATCCCCAAATTCCTCCAAGGGGATTAAACTCTGAATTGCTGGAAAAGAATTTGATAATATGTAATAACAGAGCCTTAGACAGAGGCAAATTCACTGCACACTACAGCGCATCAATCAAATTTTCTTTACTGTTCAAGCTGCCAACAAGTAGATAAAGTAACTCATAAACACACTAATCATTCAGCAAAAGGCAATTTTATCCTTGTCACAATAGGCCCATAACACTTAAGGAAGCCATGTGTTAGAAAAATTAAGCAATGTCGTCCGTGGGCTGAAAGAGCTTAAAAAGCTTTACATTGTGGACAAGCTATTCTAGACTAATGAGATTTTTATATTTAACACGTGTAGATTTTCAGTAGATTACTTTAATAAGCAGTTTAGAACAGAATTTTGACTGGGAACTCCATGGTAGATAATTATGAAGGTCTGTGTCCACATGGCTTTGTTTCCTGCTTGCAGGCAAGTTTTCCATAGCTTGGATCACCCTTGAAGGAAAAGCAGTCTTTGCCACACTCGTAAAAGCCTCCAACCACACTCCCCACAAGAACTCCTAAGGGATGCTTTAATCACAAAAGTTCCACATTAAATTTCACATTTAAGATGGAAAACATTTATCAGTATTCCAAAAAAGTGTCAGATCTCGTTATCCTGCCTTCAGGGAAAAACTGCTCCTAATGAGAAAGACCCATGAGTACCGAAAGCAATATTAAATATATTCCGTATTAAATGGGCATTTCTTTCTTTCGAGAGAAACCATGGCTCAGACCTCTATGAGACCTGCTGCTTCCAAAGACTACTTAATAGAGTTCTTAGCTGTCACTGTTCAGAAATCACAGTAGGCACGCCTTCTACGAAGTGCAGTGCACTCTGCTCACAGCCAAAGCACTGAGCCACGAGGGGGGCTAATGCAGCGAGGGGAGTAGAAGCCTAAACCATACTCCAATATTCACTGAAAACACAGGCTGGACGTAGCTAAAGATGAAACGTGGGTTAAGCTGATGCAGCTTATCTCATTTTGAGCAAAATTGTAAGCTTGAACTATATCTAGTTAAATACAAAGAATACACTTCTTATGATTCTTCTTAGAACCCAGATCCTTTAATACTCTCTTCAATTCTCTCTCTCTCTCTCTCTCTCTCTCTCTCTCTCTCTCTCTCTCTCTGTATGTATGTATGTATCTGTGTACATCTGTGTGTCTGGACCCAGGGCCTTGTGAATTCACGTTAACCCAGTGGTCTATGATTTAGCTGTTTCCAGCCTCTTCACCCAATGCTTTTAGGAAGAAAGCTTTTCAATTAGACTTCAATTAGAACTTGATCTGAAAAAATAAAGTGCAGCAGTGTTTGGAAGGATTCCGGACTGGGAGTCTGAAGAGTCACACTTCCTGACACTCTGGAGGTAGCTCATTAAGTTTCTTTGTTCATGATACTTAACAATGTCAGTGGAACACACGCCCTCTAACTCCATATCAGCTTTACGATTCTGTTTCTCCCCACACGGTCGCACAGAGAATCTACCATATAGTAGAGACTGACTGAATAATGAGCCCCCAACACAGACATCAAAGTTTCAGGGCTTATACCTAGTAAACAGAGGGAGGAAGATATGTCAGTATAGTCTAAATGCAAGACTCTGAGGCATGCCAACGTTTCTGTTTCTTGTCACCATGGAAACTCCAATGTATGACTTGCTGCTTTTCTCTGGGAGAAACATATTTTATTTGCTTTCTGAGCATTTTATACATGTACACAACACATCTTGATCATGATCTTCCCTTTCCCTCCCTAACTCTGCCCAGATCCACCCCCTTTGTAATTTTTTTCCAAGAATGATTATGATACAAGGAAATTTCAGGATTTCTATCTCCAATAGCTGTGGGTTCTATCTCCACTACTAATAATAAATTGCACAAACTGGGCCTGTTGACATGGGGTCTGTAATCCCAGCTACTTGGGAGGCTGAGGCAGGAGGATGCCAAATTTAAAGGCTTAATTCAGACAAAGCTTACAAGGAGCTGTGAGCTGCCTTTCCCACCATCACCGGAGACTTTGCTCCTGACTGACACAGGTGCTTACTTTCCGTACCTGTGAGAACATTCCTGACGGAAGGCAAAGTAAGTCAATAGATGTGTCAAGTGTATATTAAATATACTGCTTTCCTATAAAACAACAGAATGTGACATTACAAGAAACACAGGATCTGCCAAATTGATGTCCTCACTGCTTGCAAATTCCATAGACTAAACAGTTTCAATGCAACTAATACAATCACACACATACCCCTCCCCACACACACTTACTTTCAGGGGTCATAAACTTTTGCACACTATTTACCAGGTGACTAATCTATGAAATGAAGCCACAGTCATAATAGTGACCACGAGAACTGCAGTGAGAATCAACAAACACGTTAGACTTTAACACTGTGATAAGCTTTCTCTTAAGCTTAAAAATGAAGTTTATATTTACCTAAAATTGAGTTCTTGTGCCAAGCTTGATTTAATAAAAAGGAGATGTTCATGAATATGTATATTACTGTCCATGCTGAAATATTAATTCATTGAAGAAAATGGATAATATTTGCATTACATTTTATTTTATTTCTCCCCTCCAAACCTTTTCATACACCCCCTTTCACTCTCCTCTGAATTCATGGCTTCTTTTTTTTTCACTAATTGTTATTGCATGCATATATGTATATGCATTACATTTTATAAGTCCCCACAGCTCCATTTGTTCCTTATTTATTGAAATCTTACTCAGCCTGCATAATATTATTGCTTGCAGTCACATTCTTATGGCTGAATGTCCAAATCCAGGGTACAATTCGTTAACATTCTTCCAGTGTGATTCATAGAGGTTTTGTAAACTCTACTTGATTTTAAAGTAAAGGTAAAAAGATGTTTTGTGTAAAAATAGATGACTTAAGCAATAATGATAAAAGGAGCTGTGCTTTGGGGGTTATATGCCAAGGCCAACCACGCTCCTCGTGAGATAGGCTGTGCAGAGTTCACATG